CCTCTTAAGCAGTCCATTCCGGATTTGTGGAGCCTCGAAACGCTTGGGATAGAGCACCCGTCTCCCGTGAAAGACGATGACGTAGCCTTGCAACATTTCCACTCAACAGTGGAGTGCACCGATAATCGCTACATCGTTCGCTGGCCATGGAACGGCCAGCAGCAGTTTCTCCCGGACAACTACGGATTGACGTTGGGCCGGTTCCGGACTCTATCGCGGCGGCTAAGCACCGACTCGTCACTACTTGAGCAGTATGACAAGGTGATCCAGCAGCAAGCCGACATGGGCATCATTGAGCAGATGACACCGGATTCTGTCACTGGTCCGCAACTCCATTATCTACCCCACCAGCCAGTTCTAACTCCAACGAAGACGACGACCAAGTTGCGTGTCGTTTATGATGCCTCGGCCAAGGCACGGCATCACAACAAGAGCTTGAACAACTGTCTGCTACGTGGACCCGTGTTGCTCCCCAACCTTGCCGGAGTTCTTATGCGACTCCGCATCACACCCATTCTGCTGGTAGCCGATATCGAGAAGGCATTCTTGCAACTTGACATCTGGCCGCCAGACCGGGACGTGACACGCTTCCTATGGTATCGCGATCCAACTAATCCCACAGCAACTCCGGACAACATCGCGGTCTATCGGTTTCGGAGAGTACCGTTCGGCATCGTGAGCAGTCCATTTCTGCTAGCGGCAACAATCCAACACCATCTAGCAAATGATGAAGATGCGGATGTCGGTCGCTTGGTGTCCCGCAATATCTACGTGGATAACGTATTCATCGGTGTAGACACCCCGGAAGAAGGGTACGATATGTGCAACCGAACTACATCCGTATTCTCTCGCTCGTCCATGCGGCTACGTGAGTGGGCATCTAACAACAGCCACGCTACGACAGCTATGGATGCCAAGGAAAGGGCACAGGGCGACAGTGTCAACGTTCTTGGAATCACGTGGCACACCAAGGATGACAGTCTACAGCTCGCTTGTCCTCGAACCCAACCCAGCACCGACCCGGTTTGGACTAAGCGCGCTGTCCTGAAGTATGCTGCATCATTGTACGATCCATTGGGACTGGTTGCTCCGGTCACATTTCGTATCAAGGTCTTCTTACGCTCTCTGTGGCAAGCTGGTATGGACTGGGACACTGTCTTGACTGGACACCTACTGGACACCTGGCTGACCCTCCATGCAGCCTCGAGCGAGGTCAGCTCGTTATCGTTCCCCAGGCAAATCAACCCAATTGCTAATGGAACCGATGCTACCTACCAGCTACACGTCTTCACCGATGCGTCACAACTGGGCTTTGCAACTGTGGTCTACCTCCGCACAACCATAGCCATGATGACAACCTGTGAGCTCCTCTTCGGCAAGACACGTCTTGCACCGCTGAAGTCCAAGGACGGCAAGCCTAACGGTCTCACCCTGCCACGGCTGGAACTACTTGGCGTGACGATTGGTTCACGGGCAGCCCGATTCTGCAAAGATGAACTCGATCTCCCACTTACCAGCATCACCCTATGGACGGACGCGCGTTGTGTTCTGCATTGGATCAAATCATCCAAGCCACTGTCCGTATTCGTGGCCAACCGTGTGTCAGAGATTCGTACTTGCGGCGAGTTCTTGTCCTTCCGCCATGTTCCTGGAGAGTGCAACCCTGCTGATGTCGCTAGCCGAGGCGGTTTGGTGGCCGATCTTCAGGAGTCATGGTGGCACGGTCCGGACTGGTTACGTACCACATCAGATCACTGGCCAGACGAGGACCTCACACTCTCAGCTGACGAATCCGACCTAGCCAGCAAGGAGGAGCAAGCACCAACGCTTCATACCGCAAGCCTGGTGACTGGTGGCAGCGATCGTGCTACTGACCAACCTAGTCCACACACCATTCCATCTGGTCTCGGCAGCGTGCTTACGAGAGCAAGCAGTTTGAGGAAGGTCCTGAGAATCACTGCTCTGTGCATGAAGTTCCTGAAGAAACTGCGTCCCAACTCACCACGTCTCTCTCAGATCAGCAACAGCTACGGCATCGTGTCACAAGACATACAGGCTGCGCGAGATTGGTGGACTCGAATGGTACAACGCGAGGCCTTCCCTGACATCTTCAAAGCTATCAAGACCAATGCCAAGCACAGTTCAGTTGCTAACCTTGGTGTTGTGATCGACGACAACGGCATACTGCGATGCGCCGGAAGACTGAGCAACGCTGAACTACCAACTAACCAGAAACTACCGAAGCTGCTACCAACGTATCACGCGTTCACGAAGCATGTCATCAGCGAAGTCCATGGACGGCTTCTGCATGCAGGTGTTCGACACACCCTGGCCCAGACAAGGCAAGAGTTCTGGATCATACGTGGCCGTGCTATCGTTCGCCGTATCCTGGATCAGTGCTCGGTTTGCCGAAGACACGAAGGGCGTCCGTTCAAGTTGCCGTCCATGCCCCCATGGCCCAAGGAACGGATTACCAGAGCACTTCCATTCACGTACGTTGGTCTTGACTACCTCGGACCGCTATTGATCCGCACCGGCACGGAGAAAGGCAAGGTATGGATCAACCTAGTAACCTGCCTAACCACACGAGCTGTACACCTGGACATAGTCTCTGGCCTATCTGCAGCAGCCTTCTTGAACAGCATGAGACGGTTCGCAGCGAGACGAGGCAAGCCAAAGTCTATTGTGTGTGACAACGCACCCCAGTTCAAGTTGGTACGCTCTGTCCTGGACGATCATCTGAAGCTGATTCTTGCCAACCCAGACCTGCTATCGTATCTCTCAACGGAGAATATCGAATGGAGCTTCACAACAGAGTTTGCGCCATGGAAGGGCGGTGTGTACGAGAGGCTGGTGAGCATTGTCAAGAGAGCCTTGAGGAAGAGTCTTGGAAGGTGCCTCCTGACTCTAGACCAGCTCGCAACCCTGACAGCCGAAGTGGAAGGCATGATCAATACGAGGCCGCTCACATATGTTGACGACGACGATGTGTCCTCATTCTCACCCCTGACACCGTCACATTTCCTCTGTGGAGGAAGAACGGCAACCGGTTTTCAGACGGACAGCGACGAGGAGGACGGTCCGGAGACACCAGCAGCCAAGGTCACGAGGATGTGGAAACGGCAACAGATACAACTGGATGTAGCATGGAAGGTGTGGGAAGATGAGTACCTCCCTGCTCTGCGCGAAGCATCAATGAGTCAACACCGACAGTCACGGAGTAGCATCTCTCGGACACCAACAGTCGGAGAAGTGGTCGTAATCCAAGAGACCGGCCAGCCACGTGGAAGTTGGAGACTCGGCAGAGTGGTAGAAATCTTACCTGGAGTCGATGGCCAAGTCAGAGCTGTCAAGCTGAAGACGGCTAAATCGAAGGCAGTGTTGTCGAGACCGATCAGCAAGCTCTATCCGCTCGAGCTGCACGTTGTGGATGACGTCGGAGCAGTGGAGGCTGGTGATATGGAACACCGCCCGGCACCGGCGACGGCTATGGAACAGGCAATGGCGGACGAAGCTGCTCCAACCATGTTCCAGCCTAGGCGGGCAAATCGCAAAGCAGCAGAGAAGGCCCGTGAGCGTATCGCAGAGTGGGTAAGATAACTTTCGTTGTCGGGAATGTCATGAATGTCACCACATCATGAAGACTACTTACGATGTCCAACGACGACTCTGATTACCCAGCTGATGGCACGCGTACATTGTGAATCCGAGTATTCCCAATGTCGCCTCCATCTCATCATATAATTATACTCTCCTGCATGTTTGTCTCTGCTGCTCATCACAAACTACTTAAATCTGAACTTGTTTGCTTCTTCTCTGAATGCACTCGTTGCTAGCTGCCGAGATTTGTTTTCTTGTAGTTGCATCATTGCATTCCGCATGATCCGCGCTTGCATGATGCACGCACGCACGCACACACATACGGGGGTGGTTGGCAAGTTTTGATTATGGTTGAAGGTGAAGTTTTTAGAAAGGAAACTGTGGTATGAGAATGAGTCTGATGAGTCTGTCTTCCCCTACCGTTCTCGACAGCGACGTCCATCTCTAAAAAGAACTCCATCTTCGTCGTGAAAAGGCTTGAAATACTCAATATTCAACCGAGATTCGCGGTCTCACCCTTTCTCAGATCGAATCATTTTTTGTTGTAGCAGTTGCAGGGCAGATCCCCGCCACTACTTCAACAGGAGATGGCTCCAAAGCATGCCTGGAACAAGCCATATTGAGGTTGCAAGCCACCCCTCTCAGCAAGAAATTCGAAATTTCAATGGTGGAAGATATACTATGAAGAGAATTTCAAAAAGTATGTTTCGCGGAGCGATCGCTCAACCTACGTCATTCAAACTTTGCAGGATGGTTCGGACGTACATGCTAGGCATGGAACCACAGGAGATGATATCATAGCTGACACACAGAGTCACACACACAGCAGATTCGTGTGCACAGATACTAAATTAGTGGACGTCGTCATCTTCTTCCCGCTGATCTCAATTATACTATGACGTGCTATTTCGCCTGACGTGTATGACACAAAACCCAGGGCCAGATTCTTTACATTTGTACAGGCCGACTTGAAGAAGGTGCTGTAAAAGTTTTGCACAAAAGGTGTCTGCAGTCCCGACTGCATTTAGTCATGTCGTCCTGGTAACAGGACCGGGCAGAGCTATGAGCTTTCCACCACCACCACCGTAATTGGTACTAGCAGTGATCAGTTGAAAACGGGTCCTCCCAGGTGGGTGGATGAAGGAAACGAAGTTATGCATATGTAGGGTGAGGCGCCGATTGGATGATAAAGGAGAGAGAGATTCATGAGATCCATGTACATCGGCACCATGGACACTGACAGGACTGATCATGAGACCGTCCTCCGGTCAGTATTGCAGTGGTTACTAAGGCTTGATGCCATTCATTCATTTGGAAGGGTATTCCCTTTGTCCGATGCCAGAACAAGCATCAGGCTGGCTATGATGTGTCCTGTGCACATTTTCTTATCACTGATCTAGATGCAGACTGTCAAAGAGGATTCTTTTCTTGGACCAACCGAATTCGACCAAGCATTCAGTGCTCAGACGACTGCAGGAGTGCATTGCGTCCCTGGTAAGACACGGCTTTCTGCAAAATGTGCATGTGACCGGTTAGTAGACACATTGGGGTAAGACTGTTTCTGCCCCCCCCCCCCCCGATTCATAGGAGCCTTATGGAGCTGCTCATGATGAATTGCATGTACAGTATGTTGTTTGTTTCAGCTGTACATTGTTGAAGTATTGTTACGACTCGTGGCTTGGAAGTAGGACTAGTCTTTCTTATTGAACGCCACCAGCTACACTGTACATTGTATGCAGACTAAGCATGTTTGAATACCATCTGATCAACAATGCCTACATTGATTGTTGGGATGTTGATGTCTTTCTCTGCCAGCGGACAAATTCAAAGGTCCCTACGATCTTCTGAATGCGATGCGCAAAGGTGGTCCGACAGCAAAGAAAGATGATTTGACGGTAAGGATCATATCTGTAGTTGTAGTGGATTTCAAAACCATAGACGTGGTGATTTTCTTTTGAAGTGGGTAATTTTCTGCATTCCATGGATTGGTTTCCTCCTTACCTCCCATTTCCTGCTATTGATCCTTGATAATAGTCTGTCTCTAGTCAAGTTGGCAAATAATGAACTGTTTGGCTTCATCCCAGGGCCTGGAAGTATGTTATCTCCATCGATCCCTGTCTCAGTCTAGGATGCAGCAGTGCCTATACTGAGAACTGAGAACTGAGATGTCACTGGACTTGTGCTGTTATTGTGCTGATACTTGTTCCGTGGTATGGTGGGAATGGTGGGAATGGTGGGAATGGTGGGAATGGTGGGATGATGTGATTGGTTTTCAGCGCATTCTCCCATTCTCTTGCTAAAGAATTTTGGTTTAGTATTTCATGGCACTAGTTGTACTTTCTTGATCGTTTTATGCAGCCGTTCCCGGAAAGGTCTCGGCAGCCGAAAGTTCAAATCGCCTATGACACCAGGCGCGGCATTATGCCACGCTACGTTCAGATGGAGCGGTAAGCGGGCAAGATCGGTGGAAACACCGACACAGTGTTGTGATACCTTGCAGTCAATCTGATATGAGGCTGACACACTGAATAGGAGGTTGCTGCGGTTGCTAGTGACACCTGGTTCCTTTGCTGCTGCTGCCGCCGCTGCTGCTGCCGCTGTTGCCGCCGCGGCTGATCCTCACTATAGAGCTGATGTTTCACTGCTTTGGAATTTGGTGGCACATTGCTCCCTTGAGATCAGCATAGCATATGCTAGTGAATTCTCGGATATGTTGATATGTTGATGAGAGGACAGTAACTTGGATAGGTAGTGGTTATGGTATCCCCTACTGTAGTGCTGCACCCTGTGCTGATAGGTAGGGCGTGGATAGTTAGGCCCTGGAGAAGACTGAATACGTGTAGCTAGTCAGTTTCAGGGGCGTCCGAAAGAGGTAGAAAGTGGTACGGCTCGACAGTCAGAGGGGGTCCGGGGGAAGTTCTCAAAATACCCCTCTCAGAGGGTCTCCTTGGTACATGGTAGTAGATCTACGAGTCATGGCGCATACATGCCATGCAGTTCCGTAGTCGACAGTCTAGTCACGCCTTACACGGTGCAGTGACCGGACTGGTGCACCGGTGACGGATCGCGGCTCACGGTCACGCGTGGTCATGTACAAACTGGATACCCCCATTTTTTTATACCGGATTTGGATGTTCCGCGTGGACCACCTGGAGCCAAAAGTGGTACGGCTCGAGCCGTACCAGTCGTACCGCTTCCGACGCCCTTGAGTTTACTTAACATCGGTATGCCCATGTCTGTATCTATTTCCTGCTAGGAATCGCCGGCTTTTCCGGGATTATAACATTGAGCAGTTGCTGGCTGAGCGCAATGTGGACATTGACGACCTCAAAGCCGCTGAGAATTGTCACGCGCCACGTGGTCTGCTGAATGCAAAGTCAAAGTATGAGGACAACACTGGATGCTGGGCGTTCGCACCTTACCTGCCACTTCCCATCTTTGACAACACTGATTTTGAGTGTCGAAGCGTCGATGATTGGATGGAGCAAGGAGTGCTTGAAGAGAAATGCTCCGATGGAAGTAAGATGGGTGGCTGGCATTACAATGCTGGCTTAATGATGTTGGCGGAGAAAAGTGCATTGTCGTTTGCATTCTGTATACTTGGTAGACATGGATCTATTGTCTCTTTCCGATCGAATGACAGTAGAAAGATGTTGAAAAGGAGTGAGTAATTGTTGATAGTCATAACATTGCATTTGGTATAGTGTTCCCTGATGTACACTTCACCCAGGTAGTCGGCCCGGTAGTGTGATGCGTCACAGTGTAAAAGTAGTACAGCAGTATCACACATACATACACACAGTGTAGTAGTATGGTGTAGAGTCTAGAGCAGTATCACACATACATACACGCAGTGTAGTAGTATGGTGTAGAGTCTAGAGCAGTATCACACATACATACACGCAGTGTAGTAGTATGGTGTAGAGTCTAGAGCAGTATCACACATACATACACGCAGTGTAGTAGTATGGTGTAGAGTCTAGAGCAGTATCACACATACATACACACAGTGTAGTAGTATGGTGTAGAGTCTAGAGCAGTATCACACATACATACACTCTACATGTCCTGGCAGTACATGTATTACTCAATCCACAGGCAATCCTCATCCTCTTATTGTTCGGTGCACCTTTTTTCTTCTTGTGCAGGTGTGAAGCGTGTACAGCATCCTCTCCCAGCCAAAGCATTTCTGCCGGTGGTCCAGCATCCTAAGGCACCCATCCTGTCGGCTACTAGTCGCATCAGGCCGAAGAAGGGACGCTTCGACCGACCAGTACTGAAAGGCAAAAGCGAGTCGTCTGAGGACACAGCAGCACAACACGCATGGGTTCCTGTAGCCGTGTTCAAGCACCTCGAGCGATATGGGTGCTTTCTTGTTTGCAGAGTCGACAATGCGGGAATACCTCTGGCGGACTGCAGCCTGAAAGCGAGGAAAAATGGAATTGATAAAGATGATCTCCACTACCGCGTTCCGCGCGTCTTGCTGATGTTCGATGCGGAGGATCCTGTCAATTTTGCCAATCGTGTAGCCGATGCTGAGCGAAGGCGTCGCTATTGTGAGGCGATAATCCGCTACAATCTCTACCTGGATTGCTTTCCAACCGAAGGCTTGCTTCCAATTCCCAGCTCATCTCTGAACAGACTTGTTCACTATGTGTCTGATACAGTCAACCTGAAACAAACGCCAAAGTAAGCTGGCATTAGGGTTGGGGGAACATGGGGACGTGGTTGGCAATGTGCCTAGACCATTAGCATTCCAAGTGAGACATTTCATGTTTGATTCCTAGTATGTGAAGGTACCCCCCCCCCCCCCTGGACACAGGAGGCTAATCTGGCATTGAGTATATGTACCTGATTTTGGTTGGGGAGACAAAAGCAATGGAGGAGAGGAGATGGTTATCACCCTCACTATGTCAAGGAAAGTTGCTGCATTGGTTGACCAACCCAGTTAGGGAAATAACTTAATCGTCCTGCTCTGTTGGCTGTGTGTGTGTGTGTGTGTGTGTGTGTGTGTGTGTGTGTGTGTGGGTGGGTGTGCATGCATGTGTGTGCGTGTGCATGCATGTGTGTGCGTGTGCGCGCATGTGCATGCCAGAATACCCGAAGTTGACTATTGTTCTTCTCGCTCCTCCTCCATGCAGGGCTGAAGAGTATTTGACTCGCCTCTGCCGTCAGATCTCTTTGGAGTATCAACGTGCAATGGCAAAGTTACAGTTTGACATTGAAGTGAAACGATCTCCGGACCAGTACCCCTATGTAACTCTGCCAAAGCCAGAGCCTGAAAGAGTGCCGAACACAGGTATGTGTGACTCCAAACCGATGGGATCTGCCGGGTCAGTTCTTGTGATGTGCATTGAACATTCTACTGGTGCAATGGCATGCAAGAGTCAAGTTCAATGTACATCTGTGATTCACTGTCACATAGTGATAGAATGCTTTCTTTCAAGTTGGATGGCAGCTGCTTGGTTGATTCAAGTTGTTGGTAGCTGCTTGGTTGATCAGACTCTGTGGAAGAAAGTCTCAGCCGTGAGCTGGAGAACAGTGGCGACTGTCAGCTGGTGGTAGTGAACTGCTACACTCTACATAGTGCACAAATTGATCTTTGTGGCTACTATCACATCTTGGAATTTTAAAACGTTTTGGCTGTTTGACTGGGAAACATGGAGCAAAAAAACAGTCGTGGGTATGGCTGCGTTTTGTGGACATTACCCAGTACTTGTACCCTGCACAGAGCACAATGCACACCACCGTCAGACTACACACAACAGTGACACAAGCAAATCCCTGGTCCCAACACAAGCTAAATCCCAGTGGCTAGTCAACTCCTATTAAAGTTTGAAATCGTTCTTTTGGACCATGAAAGGTCAATTTGCAGCCAGGAAATTATGGCAGTAAGCTTGTAGTTTCTGTGCTCTAGGAGTAGTCTCAACATGCGTGTGTTAATTGCCTGTGTTACCACCACCACCACCTTCATGTCATGTTCTTTCTTGTGCTTCTTGCTGACAGGGAAAGTCCCCATTCCAGCATTTGACTTTGCAACAGCGTTGCAAGTCCTTAAATTCAAGACACTGTTGATCAGCACCAGTGCACAGAATGTGCTATTTTCGCTGTCGTCAGAGTGCTTTGCAGCCGCTGCATGCAACCTCTTTCAGACCGGCCTTAATAAGACAATGAAACTATTTGACTTCGACCAGATGCAATCGCAGAGCTGCGTACAGGTAAGATTGCCACATTTAAAGAATATTCTAGCTTGCTCTCCTCGTTGTTATAAGGACTCGTGCCAATTTCTTGACCCGGCGCACAGAAATACAATATCCTAAAGGGCAAGTATTTTTTTATATTATCGAAGCTTGGAAAGGTACTGAGTGTGACTAGGAAGTGGCAGGGACAAGAGAACGTGACTAACAACAGAATACTCACACACACAGAAGTGAGGAACACACTGTGTGTATGCTTACTTGACACATGTACACAAAATGGCACAGGCAGTTTTTGGGAAAGTGTTTCACAAGACATTTTGACCGGACGACTTGGTGCTGAACTCGGGGAGGTAGCTGGGAGCGTCACCAAGCCTCATGTGTTGTGCTATTTGTCTGCAACCTCACTCTGACTATCTCTATCTCTCCCTCTCTCATGCTTGCACACATGGCACCTCAGGTGAAGACGTATCTGAGTGAGACATTCTTCATCAATCTGCGCAACGCTATCCGTCACAGTTTGCGTGATGTTGGTAAGGGCTGGTTCAATCCAAAAGAGAAGGACGTGGATGTCTATCTGGGCTCAAAGCTCAAGAAGCTGATGGAAGTAGTCAAGTATGCCATGCAGGTACGTTATTTACTGTGTATAGTTGCCTAACCTAAATATTGAGACCATCTCCAAATTTGTGGATAACAAGCAGCGAGGACTAAACCACTCGTCTGTCATTGTCTTTGCTTTTCCTGGAGGGTGCTTTTGCAGACTTGTGTGACATTATCATGGCGAATCCCGAGCACACTAGCTTCTTCGCAAGCATTTCGTGAATTTAATTCTCACATGTTTTCACACTTGGGACTTAGCAACAGCTACAGGTAGAGAGCCGCACACTTGGAAATAGGAGCCTGATTTCCAAATGAAATGAATTAGTATAACCTGTTGCGAGCCTTTCGTTCGTTTTGGAGCGCAATCAGACCTTTGAAAAAAGGATTTCAGGCTCTGTATTCAGTACTATTCACCCATTGGCTCTGAAGAAACAGCAATGCTCCATTGTTGTCAATACATTGTACTGAATTTGCGCACTCCCTCTGGCGTAAGAAGTGATTGTGCTGTAGTGCCCTGCCTAACAGCTACACATGCAGTTTGATTGCAAGTGGTTGATTTCGGAGCCCATTCAATTCGGGAACAGAAGCTTTTAAGCTCAGCGTATACATGATACTTGCTACTGTACTCACAATCCTTGGCGCATACACACAGTTCTCTGGCATGCCATATTAGTGCCATTATTATATAAGTCGCATCTTGGTCCTATTACTACGTGTGTATGCGCTGCAGGATTCAATTCGCTCCCTTGTCGAGCGGTCACTGAAGGACTTTGTGGGTATGATAACTGACAACTGCCGGGATATTGTCAGTGTTGCATCCAGCTTTGAGTGGATTGGCCCTGTCAATGTCAGCCCATTCGAGTAAGTTACTCCTGCAGCCAAATAAGGATTTGTGCCAATCAGAGAGTGGTAGTATCTAGGGAGACAGCACGAAATCAAAGTGCATGGAACAATGTGTGTTTCAAACCAAAATTTGGAAGTTCTACGTAACCAATGGTCTATGCAACTCACGATCTCGTGGGCACGTGTGTGTTTTGGTATGTAAGACAGTCCAGGGGCGTAGGAAGCAGTTTAATATTGGTGCGGCGAAATCGTGAGAGGGGGTCAGGGGGTCCTCCCCCGGGATTGTTTTTGAACATTGGGCCTAAAAGGCCATATTTTAATGCTACAGAATAATATGAGAAATAAGAATATGCATGCTGATGATACACCGCATTGTCGATGTAAAACATGGTACCTGTACAAGAGTCGACAAGCCATCAACAAGGTTGAAATGTAAAAAATAAAAATTAACGCACTCTCCACATACAGGCATGCACCCGGCTCAGAACACATTGTTTTCTGGTTGGCATATCAGGGATATTGGGCGGAGCAGCTGGCGTGCATGAGAAAGACAGGTCGGCCTGCTCTGCGCAGGAGCTGTGACCCGGTGCACACATAGTGTGTGTGAGAGAGAGACAGACAGGTCGGCCTGCTCTGCGCAGGAGCTGTGACCTGGAGCACACAGAGTGTGAACGAGAGACGGTCGGCCTGCCGTGGGCAGGAGCTGCGACCGGTAGTGATTGAAATGAGCCAGCTGCGGAGATAGACTGCCCTCACCCGATATAAGTATATTGACAAGAGTTGTACTGACACTGTTATTGAGGAAATTATGGTGACAGTGACGGAGAGATAGTGATCCCCAGTCGAATGGGGTTGGGAGGGAAGGGGAAATTGACACTGACGGACAAACCAGTGAACAGTCAAGTCGTCAGAAAGCAAAAGTGACAAAGGAGTCTCTCTTTTCTCCTTCTCTCTCTCTAAAGCAAGATTTGGAATGCATGCGTGGGAGAGTGGCGCGCGTTGCGCATGCGCCTGTATAGCAATGACATCATAATCAGATGCATGATCATCAGACTAAGTATGAGTGGTAGATGTTCCATGTTCGTTAACAGGGCTTAGCGCACACGCTAAACCACCATTAACGCACTCTCCACATACAGGCATGCACCCGGCTCAGAACACATTGTTTTCTGGTTGGCATATCAGGGATATTGGGCGGAGCAGCTGGCGTGCATGAGAAAGACAGGTCGGCCTGCTCTGCGCAGGAGCTGTGACCCGGTGCACACATAGTGTGTGTGAGAGAGAGACAGACAGGTCGGCCTGCTCTGCGCAGGAGCTGTGACCTGGAGCACACAGAGTGTGAACGAGAGACGGTCGGCCTGCCGTGGGCAGGAGCTGCGACCGGTAGTGATTGAAATGAGCCAGCTGCGGAGATAGACTGCCCGTTCCCAATATCCCCTATATGGCATGAGAGTAATAATGAAATACGACTGGTGTATTGTGCTGTGCTGACAGCAGCAATGTAAAGCTAAAGCTAAGCAGTTCAGGCATGATGTGGTCACTAACCCGCAGCTACCATTGATGATTTTGAACTGCAGCTAATTGACGTGACACTCGCAGGGTGTCAGCTGTAGCAGCCCGGATGTAGCGGTGGACCGCATCACTGCGCCATCTACCCATGATACGGATGATGTGTTCGGGGACACCTGCCATGGCCGCTGATGTTGCGGCGCCAATCCGGAAAGAGTGACTGGCATATGCACTCGGGTCCGTGACCCCACAGAGTGGCAGCAGGTTGCGCAGTTCAGAGGACACTGCATTTCTTGTAAGCGGCTGGCCATTAGCATAAGTGAACAGATGGTCGCCGCCGGGGCGAAACGCCAGGTAGTTTGCCATGGCCTGCACTGGGCAGATCAGTGCGTCCGTGCTGGCTCCAACCAATACTGTGTGGCCCGTGCTGTCGGGGTCCGTCTTAGATGAGCGCACGTTTACCGATAACGACCGCTGGTCAGTACTGATCGTCACATCACATCGCCTCAGGCCAGCAGTCAGTTCTCCACAACGGAAGAACCCATGAAACGCCAAGGAAAAAGCTGCCCTTAGCATGGCCTTGTCGTGAGGGTGCCGCATGCGTGGAACGGCAACATGCCGGCAGATCTCCCTGAGAAGTGGAGTGGTTATCGGCAGACGATGACGCTGTGTCGATGACGACCTGTCGATGCCCCGCAGGACCCTAGCGAGGAGAGTTGTTGGGCCCGACGGGTAAGCAAAGCCAAGTTCCACATGAAGGTTGCGGATTGCCGACATGTAGACACGGACAGATCGAGGCTGAAGAGTCCTGAACAACTCGGCAGCAAAATAGCACAAAGTAAAGTCGTCGCCCGGCAATGGGTTGCAGGCATGCACTTGGCAGAACTGGAAGTAGCGGGTCTCGGCGGTAGAATACGTCCGGCGGGAGGATGGTGCTATTGCCAGTGCTGCTAGCTGTAGCACGGAGTCTGTCAACGGAGAGTTGGCAAGACTGGCTGATCTGGCTCGGCTGCCGCTTCCGGGGCCTGGTGCCTGAATACCTGCAGCAAATTGCGAGACAATGCATCGGCGACAGTGTTAGTGACACCAGGAATGTGGACAGCTGACACCAAGAAGTCATGTTCAATACACAGCAGATACAATGCCCGGATAAGTGTCATGACTGGCGGTGAACGGCAGGTACCGGAGCGTATACAGTCCACCACGGCCTTGTTGTCACACTGAAACTGAATGCGTCGCCTGCTCCACTCCGAACCCCAGGTCGCGCAGGCAACTATGATAGCATACATTTCTTTGAACTCAATGTTCTCGTTCTCGTTCTGGGCTGTCCACTCTCCTCTCAGCCACCGGCCGTTGTAGAAGGCACCATAACCGTGAGTGCCGCTGGCATCAGTCTGTAGTTGCATGTCGGGGGCTGGCGTCCACTCATCCACCAGGAAGAATGACTTCCCATTCCATATGGTCAGGGCCTCTGCCCACCACAACAGGTCTGCCATTGCCGATGCCGAAATGCGTAGCCATTGGTGCAATGGTGTTGATCGAGTTGCTCTGTCCAGGTCGTACAGGCGTCTCAGGAATGTGCGACCAGCTGGTACAGCTCTGGACGCGAACGAGAGTTTGCCCAATACGGAGGCGAGGTCGCGTTTCTGAACCCGGCCGGATTGGACGAGGGCCGACACGGTGGTAGATAGCTTAGTCAGCTCTGAGGGTGGAAGGCGGATCTCCAGAGCCATTGTGTCCAGCTCTAAGCCCAGGAAGGTGAGAACCGTAGAGGGGCCGTCAACCTTCTCAGGTGCAACTGGGACCTGTAAATATGCAAACAGGTCGAGCAGTAGTGACTTCTGGTGCTGGGCAAGAGGAAGACTGGGAGGCGATACATTCAGGAAGTCATCCAGATAATGAATGAGATGGGGAAGGCGGCATGTGTCCTCCAGAACCCAATGAAGGGCAGATGCAAACTTGTCAAATATGTACGGAGCTGACCGAAGGCCGAACGGGAGGACTTTTTCGAAATAGTAACGACCATCCCAAGAGATACCCAACAAGTGCCAGTCAGAGGGGGCAACAGGGCATAATCGGAAGGCGTTTCGAATGTCCACTTTGGTCAGGTGGCAACCACGGCCGAACTTCATGATATAGGAGATAGCCGAATCGACAGTGTCATACTCCAAGCTGAATGACTCCCGGGAAATACCATCATTGACACTGCGGCCAGTGGGGGAGGATAGGTCATGGATGAGGCGAAATTTGCCATTGGATTTTGGGATCAGGCCCAAACCCGAGGTTTGAAACAGCTGATATGGCGGCTCAGCAAACGGACCAGCTGTTTCCCCAGCATCGCAACAAGACTGTAGGTACAGGGTGACAAATTGTTTATTGCAGAGACTAGACGGATGATTGACAGATTGAATGCATGATACCAGAGGAGTGGTGTGACCAATCGAGAAGCCGTTAAACATGCCAGCACATACATAATCACGAAACAGGGCATCAGGGTGAGCAGCTAGCAGTGCAGTTAGCCGAGGCACATTGACTGGAGTGACGACGTCACTGGGAAGACTGAGAGGCCGCTCGGGTGCAAGTCTTCTTTGGGTGTTTGCCGCGGCATGACAGACAGACATGGGCCCGTATGCAGGACGGGTATGTGCAGGCGCCGTTGTTGTAATTCCGGCAGATCTGGCGGCCATCGTGACGAGGAGCTGGGCTGGTGGCTGACTGGCTCCCGCCTGCGTGCTGCGCAAGAGGGAGCCCTCCACGAAAGGGGCAATGCGGGGCTGGAGATGGGTGCACGAGAGAACAACGCGAGCAGATAGGGCGCCCGCGGCTCGTGAAGCAGGACTGCCAGAGGTTAGGGTCCAGTTGCCGCCAGGAATACAGGTGCGGCATGGCAGCAAGACCAGCACGGAAACGACGGTCATAGGTCACCCACGCGTCGGTCAGATAATTGTTGTTGGCCTCGATGATGTTGGCTTGGTACGCCAGCAAATCTGGAGCTTGGTCCGGCGACGCATCGACCAGGACTCTGGTGAACAAGGTGAAGGCCTCTAACCACGTCGCCAAGTCATGGACTCGGCGCTTGGAGGGCTGGGGAGTGGACGAGCTCTGCACCAGCTCAACGGACCTGCCGTTCACCAACGACAACTGCAGGACATCACTACTGCCGGACATGGCTTCAGGCAACAAGTCCCCAAATTCGACAAACTCACCTCGTGTGATACGTTCCCGTAGCCGTGGAGGGATGACGGGGAGTCCTGGAGAGCCGGCTGCGCAAGCCAAGTGCATCGGGGAAGGCTGCCCCAGCGGGAGAGGAGCTGATGCTGGTGCTGGTGCTGGTGCGGCAATGGGCGAGGTGGTAGGGGCGACGACGTTGGATTCCAAGCGCTCCACGCGCTCCAGGAGGGGCTGGATAACACCAGTCAGGTCGCTCAGGGTGAGAGGAGCTGGTTGTGACGGCGCAGGAGAAGTCACCTGGTCCGCATTGGCTGAAATGTGCCCATGAGCATGGATCACACGGGACCTCGCTCTCCGATGGACTTGAGAATTCGCAGAATTCACAGCCCGCTGCGGATACGGGTATAGAGCTGGGGGACCGTCAGCGTCAGTGCCAGCAGCGCTTGCACCCCGTGAGGTGCTCCGTGTTCTTGGCATGTCCGTTGAAAAATGTAGGAAATTGACACTGACGGACAAACCAGTGAACAGTCAAGTCGTCAGAAAGCAAAAGTGACAAAGGAGTCTCTCTTTTCTCCTTCTCTCTCTCTAAAGCAAGATTTGGAATGCATGCGTGGGAGAGTGGCGCGCGTTGCGCATGCGCCTGTATAGCAATGACATCATAATCAGATGCATGATCATCAGACTAAGTATGAGTGGTAGATGTTCCATGTTCGTTAACAGGGCTTAGCGCACACGCTAAACCACCATAAAAATCGAAAATTATTGGTCCGGCGACCGCCGGGCCTGCCGGACCGATTCCTACGCCCATGCAGTCTGAAGATGCTCCCAGGTCCAAAGTCCACTATGCAGCAAAGAGAGCAACATTGTGCAACATTGTGCAACATTGTGCAACATTGTGCAACATTGTGCAACATTGTGCAACATTGTGCAACATTGTGCAACATTGTGCAACATTGTGCAACATTGTGCAACATTGTGATGGTCGAGAGCTTTCAAATAAGTGGGATATATGTATTCAGAGTGGCACACCCATGTTGGTGATGGCATTCACTGTGCGCCTCCAAAAGTGGTACTATTGACGTAGGTGGGTATGTCCGGTTTGCCTAGTTATTCTCGGTTTGTCACTGTTTCTTTGGCAGGTCGTCATGCACACCACTGTTTGGCCTTGAGATGACCATATCCAAGTCCGGCATTGGCTTCAGTACTCCTCTCAATAGCATTGTGCCTTGTCTGCTTGCAATATTCAAGAAGGCCTTTGAATGCACCAAGAAAGTGGGAAACCTTGAGCCGGTAAGGACTCGCTGAAGGCTATAGTAAGGCCGAACACCAGCAGAATTAACCAATATCACTGAGATGTCTGCCTTCAGCCAACCGTTGTAGGAGCTCTGCTGTTCTAGTGGTCGTATATAGGTGGAGGGGGGGGGGGGGTATGACAGCCGCTGTGTGGACTTGGAAAAGTCACTTGTCTTACACTGCTTTAGTTTAGCCAGCCGCCAGCCAAAATAAAGTGAAGTGTTGCCTGTTTCAATAGCATGAGCCAGGTAGTCCATACCTGGCATCCTTCACACACTGTGCTTTACACACTGTGCTTTATGTATTGCTGTGTGTTTAACCCTGTGTTTGCTTCTGTTGTGCGTGCGTGCGTGCGTGTGTGTGTGTGCATGCGTGCGTGTGCGTGTGTGCGTGTGTGGGTGTGCATGCGTGCATGCATGCGTGTGTGGGTGTGCGTGTGTGCGTGTGTGCGTGTCACTGTAGTTGATCCTGGAATACCTGTTCTGGAAAGGCGGTGTAGCACCATTGGAGACCGTCGGAGAGGACGAGCCTCCTGTCGTTGCTCTGCGTGAGCACTTGGTACACTGCATAGAACAGGCTTTGGTTCCGCTACATGCCCTGGCCCGGCGCTTTGAAGAACACATGATGCTGTTCAATACCGAGGTCCAGCCCTATCTCGAGTAAGATTTGCCTGGCAGTCCCTTAGTTCACGCTGGCTTATAGGTCCTGGTGTGATCACGTAGACGATTATTTCCAGTACAGTCGCAGCATTGGCTTACCAGTCAATTTACCTGAATGGTCAACACTGCCTTTTGAGCATACAGGGTAGCTGAATGCTGGATCTCGAACAGAGTCTTCTATTGAACTTGTGATGCCTTGTACTGTTGCCCCTTTTCTCATGCTTAGCAGTTCATTGGGACCATGTGTTCAAACTTCCTTTTCCGGCTATTGGAGATCTGGTGCTTATGAGCTCAATGCTTGTCTGAATGTATTTGGCAAATCTCGGCTGTTCGACTAAACATGTCACTGCCCGCCCACGACAGTAGTGTCCGAAGATCAAACAATGCTGTTTGGCTGTATTTAAGCATGGGCTAATTCCCTAGTTTCAGATTTCTCAGTTACAGAGAGCCACCATCAGCCACTTTGGCACCACAAACATTCATTTTTAATCATCAATATACATGTATCACGATCCTAAACCAAACACCTTCCTGTGCTGTTCTGTTTCTCTGAATTTGCTACTATTGAGCAGAGGTTTCAAGGCGACCGAACGTACACCTGAGCAGATTAGAGTGGAGATATCCAAGCACATCGCGGCTCGCAAGGAGTTGGAAGACACGTTACCTATGCAGCTTCACATCGGTCCGTTTGCTCTAGGCTGTGAGGCCATTCGCAATATTTTGATCAAACGGCGTTCTGATCTTGCTCATGGCCTCTTGGACTTCTTGGTTGCCAAGCTCAGAGAGCAGTCTGATGAGGTATGATCCAGCCTGTAAATGATATCATTAGAAGGTCTAGTGCTGCCGTAGTTACAGAACACTGCTTCAACTTGATTGAAAAAGGCTAGAATAAAAGCAGTTTGCCTGAACTTTAGGAAACGTCTGCTAAGGGAAAGTCGCTGTATTACAGCAAGCTATGTACTATGTTACCAAGTGTGTTGACTGGCAATGCAAGTGACATGATCTGTAGAGAAGTGTCCGTGATCAGCTAGAGTATTGCCTGTGCATAGTAAATATTGACACGAGAACCAAACCGATATGGTGACACCTCGGATATTTCATGTAAAGTAGTAGACACACACACACACCTAAGTGGTATTCCTGTTGTGTTCCTCTCTTCTAAAGGTTTGCAATGAATTCCAGAAGTTATCCTTCAAGCTCTTCACTAAGCCCAACAGCATTGAGGAGCTGATGGAACAGAAGGAGTTCATGAAGACCATTCCCGATGCCGTCGCTGCTCAAATGGTAAGACCGCGGGGAAGCCCTGGTAGAGCTGCACTCAAGTAGGGTTCATGATGATGATGATGGTAATGATGATGATGTACATGTAGTAGTAATAGTTAAATGGCCTGGAAGTTGTTGTTTGTTGTGCTTTTATTTATAGTCGTTCAACCAAACAGGAAATGGAAGTGCATCGGTATGAATCACAAGCTTTCCTTGTTGCCTTCTGTCCGCCTCTAGTTGCCTCTAGTCGCCTCTAGTCGCCTCTAGTTGAGCACTGCTCTGTGCTGCTGTCCAGATTTTGTCACATAAAATCCTGTATGTGATATGTATGTGATAATCCTGTATGTGTGTGTGTATGTGATATGCTGAGTGTTTGCTGTTGCACTGGCATCTTCTTTGAACTGGTTGCTTGGCTTCAGGACGATGTTAACCGTCTCAACCAAGATTATGATGTCTTTGATGAGTTCTTGTACAATCTTAATGATGATGACTTCATTTCGCGGTAAGTGCTTTAAAATCGGTTGTGGCAACAAACGCGATTAGGCCGGCTGCAGGGACGCCGTAATGTCGCACTTGCTCCAGCACCATTCAAACAATTCCCTTTGGCAGTTCACGGCACGAACTTCAACAAAGCCCCGTGAATGCGTACCAGGGGAAAGCTAGACAGCATGTCTCTAGACATCAATAGGCATCGTATGAAAAGCCAGTCAATAGCACTAAAGAGCGAAAGCCTTTGTCACGGTTCGGTTTCACTCGCGCACTGGGCCCGAGCTGGCAGCACAAACGCCGGACGCGAGCTGGCAGCACAAACAAACGCCGTACTCACACGAGACCGTTGGGCCAACGGATGGCCACAGCCATCAAAAACAGGAACAAACCCATCCACGGCTCTTTCTCTTGCTAGCTGTGCTGCTGCGTGCATCCAACTGTTTTGCAATTTCTGCGGCTTCACGTGCAGCCCGGCTAGCTCAGTCGGTAGAGCATGAGACTCTTAATCTCAGGGTCGTGGGGGTTAGGCCAATCCTCCGGCCCCACATGGCAGCTATGCGCAACGCCCTGATTAGGTCTAATCTCAACGCTACCGACCGAGCCATGGCATGGGCAGCCATTTGCCTGGGCTTCTTCGCCTGTCTCCGGGCAAGCGAATACACTTCCACAACCGCCACAACCATGTCAGACGGGGGCCTCCGAACAAATGACCTCTCCGTCACGCCGCAGGCCATACAGGTCACAATCAAGAAGTCCAAGACCGACCAACTCGGCAAGGGTCACTCCGTCCGGCTCACAACCACCAACTCAACGGTTTGCCCGGTCAGAGCCATGCATACCTATCTCTCCAGACGCGCCAACCTGCCCAATAGACCACTGGTCATCGAAAGCTGTGGCAATTTCCTGGCTGCACAAAGACTCACACGTCTAATCCGTCAGCTCCTGAGCAGCCCAGGGTACCCACCGAACCAGTGTCCACTGCACGGCCTCAGAGCCGGACCCGCAACCACAGGAGCATTGAGCGGCTTCACCGAATCCGAGATCATGAAACTCGGCAGATGGCAAAGTGCCTGCTACAAGCACTATGTCCGCTGTGGAAAGTAACTGTTCACCGTCCGCAGGCGCGCAAGCGCGCACAGCCACATACACGCACCCGCATACACATACACACGCACGCACGCACGCGCACACCCACATGCATGCACACACGCATGCGTACGCGCACCCGCACTCTGACACCGTGCAAGCATGCACGCATGCACACACGCTGCGCACCCGCTGGTACGCCCACTCGCAGACGCACGCACTCACGCTCTAGCACTGACTGTGCACGCACGCTTCTGATACTTATGAGAAGCTATCTGCTCCACTTAGTTGCGGTGCTATTGCTCTCACCTACGGCACCATGCCACCCATAGCTTTTGCGACTGCATGCGATTCAAACCCTTATCAGTGTCACTAAGGGAATACAAACATACGAATGGCATGCATTCGAACTACATGCATGTAGCTGAAGCGCTTGAATACCATACTAAGGTCATTCAGCTAACCAACGCGGAATTTGGGGGCATTCGGCGGCTTGGTCTGATTCCTAGCTTGTTGGTACCCGGCCTGAGATTTCAAAGGTTGCTATGACAACGTGCAGTCATGCGCAGGGCCACCCAACATGCATTTGGGGGCCCAGGAAAGACAGAAACACGTTGCTAGGCAACAGCAAAAGCGCTTGGCGAGTATCACGCTACTCATGCAGCGCGCACATTGGCGTAAGGGATCACGCTACCCTTGTGCTGCGTAGGGTATCACGCTACCCTTGTGCTGCGTAGGGTATCACGCTACCCTTGTGCTGCGTAGGGTATCACGCTACCCTTGTGCTGCGTAGGGTATCACGCTACCCTTGTGCTGCGTAGGGTATCACGTTACCCTTGTGCTGCGTAGGGTATCACGCTACCCTTGTACTGCGGGGTACCACATTGCCCATCGCTGGAATCAGACCCGCGCCCGGATACCTTGCGCTGGCGCAAGCGCGCACAGCCACACCCACATACACGCACCCGCATACACACGCACGCACACCCCCACGCATGCACACACATATGCATGGACGCGTACGCGCACCCGCAGTCTGACACCGCGCAAGCACGCATGCAGGTACACACGCGGCGCACACGCTGGTACGCCCATTCGCGGACGTATGCACTCACGTTCTAGCACTGACTGTGCACGCACGCCTCTGATACTTATGATAAGTTACCTGCACCCTCAGTTGCTGTGCTATAGCTCCCACCTAAGGCATCATGCCACCCATTGCTTTTGCCGACTACATGCGATTCAAACCCTTATCAGTGTCACTAAGGGAAAACAACGATACGAATGGCACGCATTTGAACTACGTACATGTAGCTGAAGCGCTTGAATACCACACTAAGGTCATTCGGCTGACCAACGCAGAATTTGGGGGCATTCGGCGGCTTGGTCTGATTCCTAGCTTGTTGGTAACCGGCTTGAGATTTCCAAGGTTGCTATGACAACGTGCAGTCATGCGCAGGGCCACCCAACATGCATTTGCGGCCCAGGAAAGACAGAAACGCGTTGCTAGGCAACAGTAAAAGCGCTCGGCGAGTATCACGCTACTCATGCAGCATGCACGTTGGCTTAGGGTATCACGCTACCCTTGCGCTGCGGGGTACCACATTGTCCCTCGCTGGAATCAGACCCGCGCCCCGGATACCTTGCGCTGGTCTCCTGACGGCCAAAGTCAACCAACTTGTGCGCTGTGACTGGGGTTGTGCATGTATTAGCAACATAATGTGGCCCAGGTCGGCAGACTTTCAATTAGCCAAGCGAGCTACTCAGGCCAGGGTGCATGATCACTATTCGCAGCACTTATCGTCCATGCAGCAGTCGGGTTAATACCGGTATGTGAATGCTTCCAATTGCTTATTTGCCGTGTTGTGCGTTCTCTTGGAGCTCCTGGTCATGGTGGCTGCTACTAAGGCACAGTACTCGCTACTGTCATGACCCGGATCAGACTCGTCGTGAAAGCGACCATGCATTGAGTTCAGCAGCCAAAAGCTGGGCTCCGAAATATTCTAGAGTTCTGTAAGAACCATGATTAGTCCTACGAAGGATTTGGCACTTTCGTTAGTTGAGCAATCATGGCTTACAACTCGTGGCCTCGAGTCACAAGTGTTATCGTACGGCGGCTACACCTTCAGTACAAGTCGTCAGCATTGTACTCACTACACTGTTGAGCTTGAGGGGACCCTGCTTAGTCCTGCAAGGGAGCTGATACCTTTGTTAGTCGAGCAAGCATGGCACCTCTTCTCGCGTCGTACGACGTAAAGGGTCCTGTAAGTGCTTCGCGCACTGCGGACTCCGTTATCCCTTTTTGAGGTCACGGCTTGACCGTGCAGCGCCCTACGGGGTAATGAGAGGGAAGAGCCTACGCGTATACGGGGCAGAAGATGAAGGGTGACCCAATCAAGACACCGTACGAAGGCGGCGCGCTCTAGCTGCGGCAACATCCGTCAGCGTACTCCAGGCTCCGTCGCACGATCGCCGTACGAATAACCTCGGACATCACGCATAGTTGTAACTCTTTCATGTAATGTGGGTGAGCGAGCTCCCCGTATTGATTGATCATTCTTTGTACTATATTCTAGTTTGGCTGATTGCACATATTGCACCACTGTTTGTAATATAGAAATAATCCTTACGCATTCTTGCCACTGTATACTTTTGATCACATAATGTAGCATATATAAGGAGCTGTTTTGTTAACATTCATCCTCGATTCTCGGGGAGCTCACTACTCCTCTCGATTCTGAGAGAGTCACTCCGACTCTCTCCTGCTTTAGTCTTTTGACTCTACACACTTGATCTTTCGATCTAGTACTGCAATGGTTCAAATAAACACTGTTCAAGTGGAATTAGAAACCTGTCGTTCTATGTGAGCTAGCAACTTGGATGGCGACTATATTGGTCGTCTACCTGGGTAGCCACTAGACTGATCTAAGCCAAGTCACAAACCCGCCGAGCGCGGCCATGACATTTGGTGCTGTGACCAGGATCCAAGTTGCGTCTTGCTGTTGCTCCGGCAGAGTAGTCGTAACTCGGTGTGCACTGGTCCATGCTGAACTCTGAGCTCTTGTTTACTCGAGCACGCAGAGGTGTGAATTTGATGTCGATTTCACGAGGCTGCATGCAGTTCTCAAGTGGATTCGGAAGCGAACTGTTTTGTTCTGTTCTGGCCTTGGTCCGTTCAGTTGAACACTCTGTCTGAGTGCGTGCACATGGAACGTAGACTCGTTCTGTTCTGTATACATGTAGCTGTTGCTATCAGTTGGCGTGCCAACTAATTACTTACTTGCTCCGGAAGACCTGGCGAAAGTCGGTCATGCCGCTGACAAGAGTTTCGACTCCTGCACCACTTGTTGGTCGGAGGTATGTGTCAGATGCACTCGCTTTGCGGTGTGGACGGTGCATTGTTCGAACCCACAGAGGTTCTTGCAAGGACGTGCAGTGAGGAAACTCTGCTGTTTTGTCAGCGCTTGCACAGAAACTGCTCGAGAGGCGAAATGCTTTTAGACATTTAGAGTCGTCTTGCAGTGGCAGGATCAATGACTGCATGAAGCTTAGCTTCTACGTTGCCCTCAGCTGCAGTTGAGGAGTGTTGCTGTTCTTTTGAACTTTGACGGTTCAAAAACAGTCAAGAGGACTATGTCCTTGTCGTGTGACGGAGTCACGAAGCCAGATTTCGAAACTGGGCGCACCAGTTGAGATGCTGGCTGAAACGATGATACAGTAACAAGTTCTGCAGAGAGCTTGAACAACTGCTGATTTGAGTTCGTTGATGCGGATCTCGAATGTTTTGATTGGAGTGTGATGGAAATCACTAGTGAGCTGATGCCCACCTGAAACCAGCATTTCTGTGTTGGACGATGCCTGTTTGGTGTCGGATATGTCGCGACGTCCGCACCCTGTGGTGTTTCGTCACGTACTGAGTATGATGTT